GTAAGTAACAATTAGCATTAAGTGAATTGCTTTTCTGCAATTAACCTACCGTGACGGTAGTGCTGGCAATAAAATTTTCGTGAGCCTTTATTATACTTAATAAGAAAGTTTTTTTAAAAAAAATTTTTTTAAATTTTTATAAAAAAGAACCCCCCCCCCCCCCCCCAGTATGTCCAAAATGTATATATTGAGGTCGTGAATTGATTTTTCTGATTGTCATCTCTCAGAAGACGCAGGTACCAAAACGTTAACTTCAATCACGACGAAAAGGCCGGCGGTGACAAAGCCGAATCAAGAATCTAGAATGATAACGGAGGTAATAACGACGATTGTGCCGTCAACGACAACGACGACTGTGCCGGTAACGACATCGACAACGACGACGATGTCGCCGACGTCAACGACAACAACGACGACGTCACCAACGGCAACGACGCCCACGTCACCGACGACAACAACAACGACGACACCGACAACAACAACGACGACACCGACGACAACAACGACTACAGAAAAGCCCTCTACTCCGCCAACGACGCCCACAGCATCGCCAACATCATCATCATCAACAACAACAACAGCATCACCACCGACTCCAACGCCAGTTCCCAACCCGAAGATACCGGCACTGGGAAACTTCACTCTGGAAAACAATGCAGGTAATTTTGTTCGGCGCGTTCTGTTGGCCTATTCTATTGAACTGCCCAACCCTAGCTTTGTTTGCGCTTATTTTGACAATATACGCGCCAAGTAGGTCATTTAGTTGCATTATATTCTAAATAAAACCATAGTGAGTGTTTTAGGCAGTGACAAGTGATCTGATTTGAAAAAGGCAGATCGCCACCTACTTGATACTGAACAAAACTTTAATATACACGTAATCACAGAGGATTGCTTTTTCAATATTTCTCTGTTGCTACATGTAGAAAATGATAGTAATCCATAGGAGTAGTGAGACTCTACACTATAGTGCCCTGTGTTGGGCATTTTGGTTATCGTTTATAATTAAATATGCGTATGTTTCCATATAGGTTCAGCGTTTCCTTATTGCGATTGTTACGTTATTGCGATTTTGACGATGACAAATTTTTCGTTGCATACAATTGCGAATTGCAGGTCAAATTTGTCTGATCGTTCAAACGAGAGTAGCGGTCGCGCAAAGACTTAACAAGACCGAGCCGTACCATTTAAATTTCGGAAATGGAACAGTTTCCGAAGCTAATTCAAAATGCGGAAAAGAAAAGATTATCCTCTGGATAAATTTCGTTGAGCAAAATTCGTGGATTCAGGTGACTTTCCTGAAGACTAAGGAATCTTACTTCGTCGGGGATCTCGCGGTTAAAACCGATCATGTTGAAGCTACTAGCAACAGTAAGTTTGGGCATTAACGGACCCGTTATTTTTGTTTTTAATGGTGCTGTAGTTTTTATATCCTCTTTTTCCTAAAGGTGATACCCACGAAGATAATTTTGTAGTATGACTATATTTGACTTGGAGGTGTCGCATTTTTTACAAACGTGAAATTAAGCAAATTTTGATATCTTCAAAAGCATTGTTATTGTTATTAGCAGCAGCAACTTTTATTTTCAATTCATTGTTACACGCGGCCGCAGCTTAACGTTTTGTGTTAACCCCACTGAAATTAGCCATCCTAACGCCAGAGTGCTATCAACATTGATTTTTGTAAGTCTAAAGATCTGTTCGTTCAGTTTGGGGCTTGTAGATGAGATCAGTATGTACAACAATTATAACAGTAATGAGACAATTTTAAATATCAACATATGGATACATTTAAAATTCTTTTACACATCTGCGATTTATTTTCCAGATACATTGAGGCAGTTCGAAGTCGCCGAGAACAAGTACTATAAATGCTCTCAGGCGTCTGAAGTAAGTCTTGGTGAAAAGGCGGTATACCTAGTATTCTCTGATATGAAGTACGAGGCTTTTCGTACTTCGAATTCGGCAAACTTCGTTGGTGTCGAAAAAGAGTGCACATCCGACTACCACTCGGATGTGATGATTATTGCTATTGGTTGTGCAATTGCTCTTTTTGTAGTGATTGTACTAATTGCGTACCTAATCGCTCGTCGCAGGAGCCGGCAAAGGGGATATCAACCTGTGTAGTCTAGTCTCAGAAAGTTAATCTATCCAATGTAGCACCTGCTACAGTATGGGTGGACTAGCTGCAAAATCAATATTACTAATTATTAATGTTAATTGTAAAATTTTAGGGTACAACTGTTTTACAAGTGCAGGCTTACGCAAAATCCTAACCTACAATATAGGCGAATAACTAGTCTGCATTCCACTCGGTCAGACCGAGTCGAATGGCAGCCTTCTTAAAATCAGCATAAGTTCACCCGAGTTTTTTTACATGGATATTTTGCAGCTGTCCTAAGCTTTTACGAGCGGAATTTTTCGAAAGATACTGTGTTACACAGGTAATAAACTGAAAACAGACGAAAATTGCGATTCTCCACTTTTACTTTCTCCTTAGGATGGAGTGCACAGGACATTTGTGCCAGCGCAAGTCGCGTTTGAGTAATGTGTAGCTCTTTCGTTTCAATCTGAAAGGTGTGAGTTAAGCACTGATTTTTCCTGAGGGCAGAAAATATTCAGTTGGGTCAATACAGCCCTCATTAAGTGCTATTGATGTATCGCTTATAAAACATCTTGAGTAATCGTCTTTAAAATGCAGTACGGAATAACAAAAGCGATTTCTTCTATATGAGAAAAATACCATCTCTTTTTAGATGAAATGTACTACCGAAGCAAAAACTAGATGACTTATTCGCTGCTGGCATTAAGCTAGAACTACAACACAAGATTTTAGTAGTAAGTTGCCTTCCTGTTTACTGATTATTCCCTTCAGTTCTCCTATGTATGGTCATATATGAACAAAATAATACGTACATTTCTGTTCTTGATTTTTTTACTACCAGAAGCTCCTTTTTTTTGTTCAATGCTCTTTCCGCCTTCTCGTGAAGGCAGTCTATCCTAGGGCAATGTCTAGGTTAGTCTTTACATTGATGGTGTGACAGGGAACGTAATGCCGTGTTTTCGTCATCATCTCCTAGACAAAGTCAGATATTCGTAAGTATCGTCGTCGTGGCATCGGAACATTACGCTTACGCTGTGTCCAAAGTGAGTGAAATGTAAAACTCAGGAAAATTAACATCCCAGTCACTCACATGGTAAGAACACGTAAAATAGCCCTATTTTGGACGCGCTACTTATATATATATATATATATATATATAGTTGGCAGGTCATTTAAACGTTTTAAATCCGTACCTTCAACTATGGGCGAGCTCGTACACTTAGTTTGCAAATCGATAAACCCTTGCCTAAAGCAATTGACGATTTTGTATCAACAATCATTACCTACTGGTGGCCATACATTCATTTTTGATCTATAAGGAAAATATGTAAAAAAAAACCAAAGATTTAGAACCAAGCCGCTTGACTGGCGCTATATGTTTCAGTAGACTTATCCTTCTTCGCCCAGATTACTGTAATCACAATCCAAGCAGATTTTTTTTTATTGTACTTTAGCAGTTTTGTTCTTCAATCTATCCTTCGACCAGGGAAATCTAGAGATGAACCAAATTTAAGATGGTTTGTAGTTAACAAACATACGACTCTATGATAAGAAGGAATACCTAGTATTATTACTGCACTTATAATCCATTATAACATTAAAAAATAATAGTAATAATATGTGGATGACAAGTCCAAGATATTAGGTATGTATGGGACACTTAGCTGCAACTAAAAATACATGAGTCGGAAATCGATAGTGATGATGATGGTGATGTCAACGAGAGATGTCAATATTACTATTGTCCCAACAATGGTTGAGTATGAATGAAGTCATTCAGATTACCGACAAATATGTAAATTTCATTAAAAAAAAATACTGAATGCGATGATTTTTTTTGACACTGGTCAAGCGCGTTCTGTACATCATCGTAAGAATAAAGGATGATTCTTCCCACGTCTCGAGGCTTAGAGGAGATTTAAACGTCTTTATCTTTTGGTCAATTTTAGTCAAACTAACTATTGAATTAAAACAGACTAGCAAAGAGTTTATTTATTTTTATTTTTATTTTATTTTGAACAATGCTTGTGTTCAATAATTACTGATTTACAAGATACTAGTACAGATCTGTTTTTGTGTACTTTTCCTTCAGATGATTATGCCATTAAAATGAGATAACTATTTGAATAGTTAGTAGTCAACCTTTTACTGTTTCGTTAACTCCGGTAAATTTGTTTCGTCTATTTTTACAGGCCTATAAATAGTGGAGGCTTTCTCGTGCTGCTAATGAACGTGTTTCCTCGATTCTATTGCCACTCCTTTGTTTGTAGATTTTATTCTTGTAATTTACGATGGATTTTGCCATCCTGCGGCTTTTTGTAATTTTATTTATAAAGCCTATGCGTACACAATCGGTTGCTAACAAATGTACAAAATTGTTGTATGCATTCTTACGCTATGTGTTCTAATTGTTATTACAATAGAGATAAAGGTACGAACCTTGTGCATATGTGTAAATGTGACTGAATGTGAACACAATATAAACATAAAACAAATGGACTCAGCGCATACTGCACATCGTGGGTGCTTCATTAGTTGGAAAATTATCTACCTAGTGGCAGTTACTGTCAAATGGATAAACAGCGTTCGTTATTCGTAGAGTCGGGGTGAAGCCCCACTGAAGATGCTGCCGGTGTTCTCGTTTTGTTTCATTCATATTTCCCTTATATAGGAAATGGCATTATGTACAGCCGTGTACGTAGTTCACATCGTTGTCTTCTCACTACGCTGATTTTTTAAGCGATCTTCATATCTGACTTTGCCATTCGCTCGGTAATGAGTAGTAACACCGATTAAGGAGACAAAATAGACTTAGTGATATATTGCCGATTGTTAAACTTTGTCTTTAAGGACGTCTTTTTTTGCTCACGACAGACTGACACCGATAGTAAGAACTCGTAGCTCAGTATTTAGATTCCAGGGCGTCTGACGAGCTTGCTGAGTCAGTATCTATTCGAAAAATCATTTAACAGAACGAAAATAAATATATCAGCGTGCAGTTTTTTTAGCCTGATCTAGATGCACTACTACTAAATGAAAAATCTCAAAAAGCTGCTGCAAAAAAGGTTTGCGAGCCTCCTTACGCCATTCTTTGAACTAGAGATTCATGTCTGTCCGTAATGAGATTATGTAATTTACAAGAGGAGTTGAAAAAAGGCAGTCAGTGTCATTCTAAGATACTGTGACTTCACTTATAGATGTCACACATTGGCTGACTCTATGTCAAACATGACTGTCATTTGGTATCTGTGGAATTAGAATATTTATTATTTTCATAGATCTTGAAAATGCAGGCATGTTTATGTGGAAATTAAGTTATTTATTCGAGCCCGAGCAGTAAATCGGATACACCGTTATAGACTTAAATTCGCCTTGGAGAATAACTAATTTAAGCCAAGTGGGTTTTTGTTATTAATGATCCTTCTTAATTAGAGCTAAAAGAAAATGAAAGTGGCAAACGTTACTCGAAAACGTCTCTTAGAGTAGATTACATATTGAGATTACTTTATTGCTAATGTGGAAGTAAGGCATTTATGTGCGCCTTTATTCTAAGTCCATAGAATTGATATCTGGAACAATACTTGTTGTTTTTGTAAGCGCTTACCCAGTTGCACCGATACTTCGGCTGAATGTAACTTTTCATAAAAAGCTCGGCACTGTACGTGTAAGTATAAAAAAGGCAGATGAAGACCGTACATGTAGAAACAATCAAATCTAAGGATTATACGTTTTCTTATAGTTCGCATACTTTTAACACTTGACATAAACGAACATGACGATTGAAAAACACTTCTTTTGTATAAAGGGTGATAAACTACATGCAAGACTCTATTGAAACAATAGTCTACAGCTTGATGATTAGAACGGAATCGGCTATATAACATGCTTTTTCCTTTAAAAAATTTGATGCCCCATTTTTTTATCGGTTTTTATGTAATAGAATCGACAAGATAGTCGCTGGTTCTGTATGTCGTACTTAGGTGTATCTGTAATATGTATGTACCTTACAGGAGCTACAAATCTCGAAAGGGGCAGCAGTAAACCCTGGTGCACATGATTACGATGAGAAAAAGTGCTGATCCAGTGCACCTAAAGCGTACATACACATTCACATTCTTAAGCGCCGTAGTAAATCTTATTATTGCTTATGTACAAGTAAGTAAATTTCTGCAGAAATGTATGTCATGTGGACAAAGAGACTGTACAATGATTAGAGCTACTTGACAGACTTACATAGATAGATAGTGTTTGTTACGAAAACAAATTAAAAACCTATGAACGTACTTAGAACTAAATGGGGTAATTAAGCAGGGACCCATCCAATAGCTTTCCATGGCGAGAGCGGGCGGGGTAGCAAAGCCCCATAGATTTCTTCTTACAGCAAGAGTTCAGCATCTCTAGTAGACAAAAGGAAGTGAAGGATGCTTTTGGATTTGGAGGAAATCTATGTATCTGAATTGTGCAAAGTGTGTTGAAATTTATTAGTATATAAATAAAAGTGCATACTACGAAAACCGCTGCTATAGGAGGGGACGCAATACTACCTGAAAGGTCTACAACTATATCCCTTAGTAATTAGCCAACCAATACTATTAATTGGTTATCATAAAGAACTTAGCTCTTGTCAACATTGTCGATACATACCTAGCACATGGATAAGTGCATCATTTTCAAGATTATACACGCGATTATGAGAGGATATACTAAATATATATATAAAAAGATTAGAAAACTAAGTGGATAATGAACGAGAAGGACCGGTATCATAGGAGATACTGTACATATTTATTATTTTCGTTTTCTTTTGTTTTTCTAGTTTGTAGGAGCTATACTAATAAAATGTGCCCTAAAAAACCGCGTTCATTAGCTAAAGAAATGAGCTTTGCTGCATTCACAAATGTTACATAATAAAATAATAGTAATTAATATTATTATAAAACATTTACGATAAGAATTATAGCTATGATAGGAATGAATAAAATAATTATTATTAATAGAAATAATCTTTAGAGTGGCGATACAGTTGCATCGTTTCAGAGTAGATCAAGAAAATTTTACTGTGTTTACTAAATGGTTAGCCTCAGGGGGCATTCCTAACTACTACACAGAGTGTCCCAAAAATGTAATTTTCGTAAATTTTGTAAACTTCGTAGATCATCGGTTTTCTAACGTACTTTTTCTTTAAGATATCTTCGCAAGAAAAAGAAAATTGGCATTAGATCTGGAGAGGTGCAGTGTATTTCAAAGGGATTTTTTCGTTACACCTCTCTATTTGTAAAACTCTTTTATTAATATGTGCTCTTACATCACGATAAAAGTACACCTGCTGTTGGAAATAAAACTGGCCATCTCTACCAAGGTCCTCCCGAATACTTAATAAAACATAGTTTTGATGTAAATTGTCAAAAAATATTCAATAAATTAACGTGTATACGTTTGTTTGAGGCACACTGTATGTATCTCTTGTGTAAGTCGACAGAAATGTTAATAATATTTCAACAAGTACTTTCTTTACACTGTGCCGGTCGACTTGATTGCTTATTGGCTAATTGCAATAAGATATTAAACGTTGGAAAATTAAATATTAAAAAAGCACACCTTTGACATTTGGTAAATTTAGCTGGTTTACTCAAGGTAGGCCGCGATTAAAAATCGATTACAAACCAGTCGCGTCTGTCATGTCAGTATGTGTTCCGACAGACCTTCGCCAACTTTACTGAAAACATATTAGCATTACGTTATTTTGGAGCAAAGAAACGATTATTTGAGAAAGGAACGAATTCAAGAGAGGAGAAAAAAAAACGAAAAATGTGAATACATACAAGTAACGGTAAATTTGGATTGAGTATCATTCAACATTTATGTCAGCTCAGTTGTTAATTGAATGATGACAATGGCATATACAGATGCAACAAGTGATTAGAATCGAGGGTCAAAACTACAAAAGATATCTGAAGTTAGTCCAACGCTGCACACGTAATAGAGGGAAGAGAACACGAAAAATCACAAATGGCAATGTCACCATGCAGATGTAGCAATATATAACGTAAAACTGTAACGGTGTCAAATTCTAAAATGAATAAAAAATAGTTTATTATAAAAATTCATATCTGTTGTCATTCAACTTAACCTTCTTCGGAATATACTCTCGGAGCATGCTTGCGACCTAATTTTGCTTCCTGTTAGATATATATATATTTTTTTTTCGAATGGCCAAGTGTTTAGTCCAAAACAACCAGAAGTTTTTGCTGTTTCAAGTCCCATCTACAACACCTATTACACAATATCTGTAGATTTCTTGTGTTATATATATATATATATATAGTGTGGAGCGTATAGATTGAGATCTATGCTTTGTTTCTCAGACCATCTAAATAAAGACAGGTATTTTTAAAAATATTATTCCTGATGGTACTGGCCATTTAGTGTAATCCACCTCGCTGAGAGCTTCAATTCGGGACTCAAGCTACTGTTAGTAATCTTCATAATGTCTTTTTTTAATCCGCGAATTACTTTGTAATCGTCAAGTGATACTGCTGGATGTGAACTCACTAAAGTGTCGTTCAAATAAGCTGCATCTGAAAAATTTCATACATTTCAGTTTGATAGAAGGCTAGAATCCTAAGAGTACAAATGTTCAAAAAAAGTCTCAAAAAGACCAACTGCTGAAGGTTCTCTTTGGCAATTAATATTCTTTTCTTTAAAACGGTCCTTACTTTACGTATTAGAAACCTAGACGTATCGAAAATGGCTGTGAGCCATTTCTTTAGTGAATTTTCGAGTTCTTCAAATCCAAGCCCTATCCCAAAAAATCGTCCAGCCTTCTGGAATTCTTTTGTTGTATTTTAAGCCACACGAAAACTAGCAATAATACAGACGATCGATTTCGCACGAAGTTTTCAATTTTTGATAAGGGAGGGAGAAATATTGGATAATCGCTGATCTTAGCTCAAAATTTTCTAAACACTGTGTTTTGCCGTGATGAATTTGTTGTTCTGTTTTAGATAGAACTGGCTTCTGGCCGGCACCACGAATAGTGGATGGACGCATGTTCGTCACGAAAAGCAACCCGCCAAAGTTTTCACTTATTTAAATCTACAATCCTGTATATAGACATTACAAAGCTTTTTAAAAGGGTTTATTTATTAAAGTCGCATTATATAACTGGGCCTGTTAAGAGTAGTAAAGAGAAACCTCTAACATTTATGTAAAGGCGAGCAATCCAACATTGCATGATAGAAAATTATTAGCACACCTATAGTGTTTCACAACGTTTTTCTATTAAACCAGCCACCACTTTGTGAACTTTTTTCAGAAGCAACGCGATTTGTTAGAGGTATCGCTCTACCCGGTCACATTTAGACGACGCGGGAGGGTTGTGGAATCTCAATCGTAATAACGGCCTAGACGTGTAAATTATGGCTAAGATTGATCGAAAAACGCAACTGAAACTTATACAGCATCGCACTAACTGGAATCGAAATTCGATGAAGTAAGCACATTCCTAACGCCGCCTAAAGGCTACACTGACTTCAAAGTCATTATGGCCACACAAAACTAGAGCACACATTTTAAGGCTGGTTTGTTAAAAAAAAACACAGTCTACTTGTATGATAATAGTAAACACTTTTTCTAGAACCGCTGAGCCAAACACCAGCGCTTACGGCTTTACTGTAGCTGCAAGGGCTATTTAATGAACCAATAAGGGGGTCTCACCGACGTGCAATAGGTATCAGCAGGTTTTAAACACAAACTTATGTTTTGCTCAACAGCAATGGCGGTTATACATGTACACATATTATACTTCGGAAACGGTATTGTCATTTTGCTTGTATCACGCAAGCTTTATCGAACTGTTGTTTACATATATTGTCCGAATTAAGCAAACTGTCATCCGCTGATGCACTAGCAGTAACGAGCGCATAAAATAAACCAGTAAAATTACCTATAAATAACATCGGCTATTATTCGATACAAATGCAACGTGTTTCCTATGAATATGATTTGTAAATGAGCGTTAAATATTATAACTGTTTATTCCGACTTCATTGTAAGGCACAAGAAACAAGCACGTAATTTTCTGGTTCAAATCTTCAACGCGGTGTTAATGCATTGTACACGAATAACAACTTTTCGCAGCTTTTTTTTTTTTTTTTTTTTTACAGGTTTTAGTATTTACTTCGTATTTTGATTTACATCGGTAAACCTTGTTTTTGAGTTATTCTTCACGCCAAAACGTACGTTTGTATGTTAGGAAATTTTTTCATCTGGCTATAGAAGCCCGGACGGAATTTAGTGTTTTGGACATGGTCCTCATCCTACCAATAGCGTTCCATTTGTATCTAGTTATGTAGACGGGTTTTTTGGACTGATTTCTATCGGACGCTCTCACAGCCCGACGAAGGAGGTCGGATGGTTCCGTGAGTGACACGCATAAACATAGATAATCGGGACAGTTGACAAGGACCAGCGAAAACAACGAACTGTTTATGGAAATATGTTTTTTTCCTATAATGAGCAATAGTATTTGGCTTATGGATTCCGTATAGACAGCGTTCATAATAACAGTCCGTGTGTTAGTCTAGTGGATCCTTGCTTGGCTGATAGCATTAGGAACACCTAGTGGCGGTGTAGGTTCGAATCCAGGCATATTCTTATCCTAGTGAGAATCAACCGTCTGATAGATGCTAAACGGTGGAATACCGGATATACTCCACGCATATAGTATACGAATAATATCTATGGTTCAAACTTTATTGCCGGAGCAATTAAAAGTGGAATGAATTGGCCTATCTTCATCAAGTTAATTATAGACGACCCGAAGTTACCTTAACTAGAATAAATGGTTAGATGAAACGGATCAGTGAAAAGTGAATATAAATCGTCCTATCTACAGATCATCTCTCGGATATGTTATTTTACAGGCTCAACTGCCTTAGTAAGCTGTGCAGAGTTGTTAAGTTTCTGAATTCTGTGAATGTGTGACTTATGGTGCAAACAACCTGTACAGTTGAATCCCAACGGATTGTTCATCACGACTCGAACCAAGATCGATAAAAAGCAGTGATTTTATAGACAAGGACTGATATTGCTCATCCCTTGAGTTGTAAGTTTATTGATATTTTATATTTGAGGCATAGCAAAATGATGTTTCGTCTCAATATTGCATAAAACACGAATTCCATTTAACATTATTGTACACAATATGATTTCGCTTGACGAATGATGATGACCTAGTAAATATGCGCTGTACATCTTCTTCTTTTGCTTCTTGTTTACACGATCTGTGAATGCGATACATAATAGTCAGAGTTCGTTGTACTCATATATTAATATATTTTGGTTGGTTTGTTATCGAAAGCTCTTGTTGATCATAACAAGCTACCATTGCAGGTTAATCTATTTTTTGTACTTAGTGTATCCTATACTACGGTAGTAAATTGTAATTATCTAGCAATATATTAGCCACTGTTCCGACCGTTTAATCAAATAAACTCTCGCAGAATTTCACGAAGCAATCATGAGACCTAGTAAGTTCCCTGACTATTAAAGACTAGTAAAAGTTAATAAACACCTTTTATTCATACACTGACCATTGGAGTAGATAAACGTGGGATTTTTTTTTTATAAAACTATCAATATTATTGAAAAAAATTACCGATTATAATGACTTCAAGGGTGATTTTTAGTCCTAGCCGAAAAAACCGAGTTATTTTTAACTGAAAAGGTTCCCAAGTGATTGAAAGAAGGCGGTGTGTCACGGACATATCTCGTAATCAGTAGAAAAGCGGTCTTGTATTTTAGTTGAAGTGGCCGTGTAATAAAAGCCTCCAACACCGTTTTAGCGCAGAAGTGATTACTTAAAATCTCTAGACAGCTATATGAGTCTTGACACTTTTTTAGAAATTCGCAGATTTCGTGAAAAACTTCTTTGCCTCGCATCGGTAAATAAATAAAGCATAAGATTCGTAAGCTCTATTGTACATGTTTTACAACAAGCTTCAATAATGTTGCAATGTACAAACGTGACTTGCCGAAGGTTTGATAAATTAACCCAATATTTACTACTAAACGGACTTATTGTTTGCATCGGTAAGCGCTTACATAAGCGGGTTAATGATCTGGTGTTTATATTTTTACGAAGCGTATGCTTGAATCGCTAGTGTATGGGGGGTCAATATGCATCTAAATATAAAGTAATGGTCGGCCGAACGTATTCAGAGAAATAGGATTTATAGCTCTTATCAGAAGTAGAACACTCGCGCTCCGTGAGAATTTCATCTACTTCCCTTATATTGGCACACCAACATGTGCAGGGTCGACATAGGCTCGCTAGAATCATGTTTCCTACGTGGTGGAAACATAATCAAACCTTTTATAAAAGCAATTTTATTATTTATTTTTATTGTCATTATTATCTAGAAACAATCACAATAGGCGCTATGATGTTTGTGGTAGGTGGCTATAATATAAATATGAGGTATTCTTAAAGCAAAACTCCCATGCTAGGGCAATTTTACTAACAAGGAGATGTATGGCACGAGTGATTTGCCTTAATAATTTGTCAACACAGCAGCATCCAATGGCAGTTGCGACATATTGCCATTGGATATATATCAACTAACTTGACCGTACGGATTCGGTTTCCAACGTGTGGACAACCGAAACCTGTTGAGAGTTACTGGAGTTACCCATACGATCTTTTATTATATCGAAGTTAGTTACGCCGAAGCCTTTCGTCATTTGTAGGGCCCGAAAATGGTTAGGATGAATCGACTCAATGAAATCGTCATGCGACAACAGCAGAAGCTAGACATCCAACACGAGCTAATGCTTACGAAGGAAAAACGGCTTGAGGTACGCTGCGTTCGATGATCTGACTGTTCTAAAATAAAGATAAACTTCATCGAATAAAAGTAAACCTTTTTTTACCTTTTATATAGCATTCAATGTTCGCATCCGATCTTCTGTTTTTCAGAGCTAGGCAATACATTTTTTTACATAGAAATCATGTTGTTTTTGTTGCTGCTTGTCTGTAATTATTGAACGAGTTCACGATCTTTAATCGTCATAATAACTATTCGTAGTCTACTTCCTGTTTCTAACCATTCTAACACCCATTCTCAATGCAGTTACGTCTAGCCTATATGTGTACACTTCGCTTTATTTTTCATACTTTATTTTTAACCTAACACTTATTCGATAAACAAATTTTAGGTCTAATCGGTGTTGGTGAGTAAGCCGGTTGCCGAAGTGGTGCATCTCTATTTCAGTTAGAAGAAGGAGAATTTTAACGTATATTACGACAATACAAACTGCAATACTTGTATCCATTTTAAGGTGCTTCGAGATGCAGGGAAACTTCACGCTGTTGAGGCGAAGGTTCGCTCACTTCGATCGCGTCGAGAAGCTGTTGAAGAACAAGAGAATCGTAACGCTATGCTACGAGTCGAATTAGATAGGCTAGCTGGACTTTTCAGGCAGAAACAGACAGATCTTAATGCGCTAGTACAACGCGTTGAGGTGCGTTCACGTGCTGATCTATCCTATTTGCATAAGTAGTGCAGCAAAGCCAAAGATATCAATCGTAAGCGAAGACTGGCAGTGTATCAAGTCGGAGAGGAATCATTTTATTGTAATCGTCTATTTAGTATAGTTTTGCTCGTATTGTTCATGCTTAACGAAACTCGGCGAAGATCGTTCGTTAGAATGAAGACCGTCTTTCTTTCTCTTTTGTAGACTGTAATAAATTTCTTCGTTGCCTCAATAGGTTTTGGCTGGCCAGTTAGATGAACTTGAACGAACTTCTAATTATGTTCAGCAACTGCGTGACCGCTTGGAGAAAAAGCGGGCCTCAAACGAAGGCCTTGATAGTGGATGCCAGCCTGACAGCCAGCCTTTAAAATATAGAAACACTTTGCCACCGAACAGCAGGTAATTAGCTTTCTTCCAGTATTCGACAGATAGAACTCACTAACAAACTCGTCGTCAGTTATTTTAGTACTGGCTTTACACAGCTTAAAATCGTAATAATACAACGTTAACGTTTTAAAAGAAGGTCAAGGTTGCTTCAGAATCTTGCGTATTGAGATTTGTGCAACTGAAGAAAGACTACATAAGGTAACTATTAGCCATATGTCACCGTATATTCATTCATACGGCATCATATATTCACGTTTATTAACTGAGTCATCGACTGTATTGTTTCAGAATAAATCGACCTTTTACTGCAGTTGTCAATCCTCAACCGAGAAGCAGAGAATCCGAATCAGGCACATCTCTTACAAATGAGTCAAACACCCTCGACACCACTTCAGCCACGTCGACCGCCATCATTGGACTAGGTGAGAATTTCTTTCATTGCGCAATACAGAGCGGGTCAAGACTATGGAGGCCTTTTTCGTAATGGATTTATCTAGTTCTGCACAAGCGCACTCTTCCAGCTACTACGAATGCTAGTTTAGTTAGGCTTATCATTTCCCATCCATAATATTTTTTGTTAAAATCATAGGGCTAAGGCAGCAATTTTTGTTTACACTTTGTCTTAAGTAGCATGTAAGTAGTACACTTCTATTTGCTATTTCTTACAAACACGAACGCAACCCTAAAATAGCAAAGTGCCAAAAATTTGATTCAAATATCTTCAATGTGCGATTTCGCCCGAGGTAATCTTATGGAGAAAAAAACGTCTTGATAATAAGTACAATTTGTCAACGACTAACAAGCTACAATTTATATTCCTTGTTTCGGGGTTCACCATGAAAACAGAGAACTTGAAAAATTCAAGCGGAACGACTTCAGTTATATCAAACGATAAAGCCTCGAAGAAGAAAACAAAAGATAAATCAAGGCGGGTAAGTGAATTTTTTATTGCGACCATTGGCATTCTATTTTCTAGCTGGCACCCTAGAAAATGCCGAGCATTCTTGTTTGTTATATCTTAGTAGGACTGAACGTTTTCAAGGGGGTAGTTTTATAATGAAAGTCGCGCCTCTTAATGTCGATGTTGTCTCTGCTAGCTTTTGTCAGTAATAGTTCTGCATTGCCATTATTAATATACAGACAAAATCAAAGTGAGAACATTTCATTGCCATTTTTCCAACTTTGTAACTTTAAGATTAAATTTTCGCACTAATACTTAACTTGCAAACCGAACCTGCTCGTCAATTTTCTATTGCCATCGGTATTGACTGCTTTGTTTGTTACATAGGTAAGCTTCGATCCGTTAGCGCTGCTTTTGGACGCAGCTCTTGAAGGTGAACTTGACCTCGTAGCCCGTATCGTGTCTTCTACAATGAATCCACACAATGACGATAAAGCAAGCGTCCAACCTACCCCTATCATCGATCGTGGTAATGACGAAGGCATCACTGCCCTACACAATGCCATTTGCGCTTCGCATCTTCCCGTTGTTCTCTACCTTATCGAAGCCGGCTGCGACGTAAACGCCCAGGTACGAGTACTGTCCTTCGGAAGCGTTTCATCAGTTTCCTGGAAGTGCTTTTGATATACCGGTTTTATTTGCAGTAACGTACTGGCTAGAATATGGTTTATGTTCATGTTCCTTATCTTCTTATGCGTCAGTCTCAGAGGCACTCTAATAAGCAAGCATACGCCGATAAGTACCCACTCGAAAATTTGTATATTTTTACATATTTCCGACAAAAAGTGAGATCTATGACAAAGCGTCGCACAATACTAAATATATCGCTCGAATTCTCAGGACGCTGATGGTTGGACCCCGCTTCACTGCGCTGCATCATGTAATAATGCCCGTGTGGCAAAGGCGCTTGTTGAGGCTGGGGCGTGCGTTTACGCCATGACGCACGCTGATAAGGAGACTCCGCTTGACAAATGTGAGCGCCAGGAGCCTGGATTCGATGAATGCTTTGAGCTTTTAATGTCTGCGCAGAATCAACTGGACGGTCATGTTCACGCGATGTTTGCGTATGAAAAGGAAAATGACGACGAACTTAGCTATAAACAGGACGATGTACTTACGATACTCAGACGGGGCGATGGGAAAGAACGTGAGTGGTACTGGTGTAGAGCAGAAACCACAAATGAGGAAGGTTATGTAGCAAGAAATTTGCTCGCTTCGTATCCCCGAAAACCGAGAAGAAGTGACGTTGACATAAGTACCATTGAGACTATTGCTTCGTCCAAGGACTCATCTGAGCTGGATGATTTCACTGGATCCACTACGATAGGTTTGTCAAGCAACGACATCAGCGCTAATAATAAAGAAAACATCTTATTAGTTGTCAACAATAATATCCATAGTTCAGGTCATATCCACCATCAGCAGCAGGAGCAGCATTCAGCGAACAGTTCACCTAACATGGATATGGACGAAGATCATGAAGAATAGCAGAGCCATATTTTTTCGTTTTTATCATTATTAATCTGTCTAACATGAATATTGATATTATCATGCGATAATAATTCCAACAATAGGAAAGGGCGCACGGACAAAAGAAACGACTGACCGTTAGCTCAATGAGCTTAACAAAGACCCTCTATTCAATAACGTTATTATTTGTGTTCGTTGCAGGTCTCAGTATATTTCCCTTTTTGTCCAATAATTAAAAGTATGCAAAAATACTTTACGATAAGAGGAACATGTAGACACCGTTTTGATTTTTCGTATAACATTGTTGCACGATTTAGTGACTTGTAGTTCTATTATGATCGACACGTACGTGTTCGACTATTTCGCCCGTATCTGTTGATTGCTTTTGAGCTTTCATTGGCGTTTGATCGATCCTAGAATCTGGCTCACCAGAAGGCGGGCGATCTATCTTTGACGGTGCATATGATAGTGCTAATTAGAATAGCCTGGAAGACGGACGCACAGCATTTCGTCCTCGTCGTCTTCCTTTGTCCGTCGTTGAGATGGATTCATAGCGAAGCTTCGCGCACGAATATGTCACTCGATGTTTTGATTGATATCGACCTGGTTAACAGTATGTATACACTAAATGTATATACTCCCTTAAATAGATCACTATTTTCTCTGGCAGTAGCTCATACCAACAGCATCATTCCATCACATATTGACTTTTTTAAGCGTACGGCCTACTACGGCATTTAAAGCCACAGGTTGACGATGGGCTTGACTTGTAATAGCGAGTGGTGCAGTGGTCGCTGTTGTAAGTGAATCACCTCAACCATATGTTGCTGACGTAGGTAAGTGCTTGTTCTTTCATGATGAAGTACAAATGTTACCTGGCATCAACTTCTTCGTGATTCGAGAATACGATTGTATAGCTATCCTCCGAATCAGGCCGTGAAACCGTTCGATGGATGCGGTCGTTAACAATTACCTTTATAATATATAGTGCAAGACTCAGTCATACCTTAAACACGGACATCCTCTTTTTTATTTCCCGAACTAAGTGCCACGTGGAGCGGCGACATGGGGCCGCCGTAAGTCAACCATACATTAGCGACTATGTGATGTAAGATGTACCGGAAAAGTCTACTCGTGTCACAATGGCCACAGATAAATTACAATAGCGTTAGTAGCTCTGATCAACGATACAACGATATTTATGGTTCTATTGATATTGTCAAGCCGTAAAATCTCGCAGCGCGTTTATAGCTATGTACAGTAAAAATAAATTTACAGGTTTTTTTTTTACAAATGGTTCTTTAATGTATATGTTCTACCTTAAATGTTAGGTATATCATTGATGATTACTGTGACGGTTGACGATACGAAGCTTCAAGGCTATGCAGATAGTAGAGGATTGACAGTTTCCGTTCTCAAAACTACGTTGAGTAGAACGTTTAGTCTTATCTTTAGTAGATTATAGGGAATACGGTTAAATATATCAGCGTAGATAAGCCGATAGCGCCGAGCGCTGCTAAAGTTAAACGCAAGCACTTGATCGACGTTCTTCTCAATATCAGTTCCATAGTTTCGGAATATTATCCTCTTGCAGACGTTCATAGCTCTCCTTGTGGTTCATAGTATGAGTTGTTCTTCAGATTTACGGATTTACCTATTCGCTTCGTAGTAGACTTCGGAACACGAGGTTCTAAGATGTCTTTATTCAAGCTAGATCTCTAAACGTAATTTTGCTTTAATCATTAAAAACACTGACACTTCAACCATTTGATGGTCAACTATTTTAGCCAGCCGGGACCGATAGTGCGAATTTTTGCGGATAACGTTATTGTATATAATCATAACGATACAGGGATAAATTTAAGTTATAACTCGATTTATTTAAATCTAGGATTTTGACGTGACAAAATGTGTAGGCTATTCATAGGAACAACAATTATATGGACAATATAT